AGGAGAGTTGGTCGCCAACTTTTCGCCAAAAAAACGCCAAGTTACCATAATGTAAAGATCAACCCCATATTGTAAAGATCAACCGAAATGAGAGATCATGTGATATGTCATGTGATATTAATGGATGAATTACGGTTCTTTAATCGGAAAAGAGGGGAAATCGGGGAAAAAATCTGGAAATTTTTTATTTGCCTTTATTCTGTGTTGTGTGAAACAGTGTTCGTTAATTTTTGGATCCCATGGCCCTAACTAAAATGAATTCGAAATGGGTATTTAGTGGGATTGAAAGGGGTAATAAGTGTTTAAGGTTGTGCGAGATAGATGTAAAGATGTTTTATTAAGTTATTTATTTTACTTGGTACCTTAGTGTGAACTATAAGTATGATTTTAAATATTCTGAAACGGAAATAAGAAAAGTTATCGGGTAATCGTATAAATAGGTAGTGTTAAGATATTAATGCATTGTTCTAAATTAAGTGGAGTTAATTTGCGTGCATGGAAATATTTGTAAATTTTGTAACAGTAAAGGTAATGAATAGTTTGATGGTTGTAATATAATAGATAATGTAGAGGTGGTAAAAGTTTTTGGATATTTATTTATTTTATATGTGGAAATTTCATATTTGGAACCAGGGTTAAACTTTTTGCGATCAGGTAATTTCATATATGTTCTTTTACCGGATTTAAAGATTCAGAAAATTGTCATGTATTTTCGTGAAATTTTTCTAATTATGAGAAAAAAGCAGTGTACATGGATATAGTGAAGAGTGTGCGCAATGCTATTTTGTGCAATTCTGGGATGTTTTTTAAGTAAAAATAAGTTGACGTGGTACATGGTTTAGTGATTTAATTAAATGATAGTTATTTTGTGAATTTTCATGTTTGTAGGAATTTGGTATACGTTTTAAGTTGAAGTAAACATGCATGGAAATAATTTAATATTTGACCACTAAGTATTTGTAATGCTTGCGGTATGAATTCGTTGGTGACGTGTAATATAATAGATGATTTAGAGGTAAAAGTTTTTGGATATTTATTATTTTATATATGGAAATTTTCATATTTGGAAAGGGTTATAAACTTTTTTGCGATCAGGTAATTTCATATATGTTCTTTTACCGGGTTTTAAAGATTCAGAAAATTGTCATGTATTTTCGTGAAATTTTCTAATTTATGACAAAAAAAGCAGTGTACATGGATATAGTGAAGAGTGTGCGCAATGCCATTTTGTGTAATTCTGGGATGTTTTTTTTTAAGTAAAAATAAGTCGGCGTGTACATGGTTTATGTGTATGTGTTATTTTGAAAAACGCGTAAGGAGTATGGTATTGTGCACTTTTTCCCAATTTTGCAGTGAATATTTGTCATGATTAAGCAGTTTTGTTAGAGAAAATTTCTAGCATAAGTGTAATTCGGCTAGTAGATTGTTGGAAGAAGTGTTCAGTAGATAAAAAGAAAAGAAACATGTCTTTACTTCGTGTAGACAAAATGGCGGCGGGAAAAAAAAAAAAAAAAAAAAATGAGGGTTTGGTAGGAGAGTTGGTCGCCAAATTTTCGCCAAAAAAATGCCAAGTTACCATAATGTAAAGATCAACCATATTTTCTTGGTAAAACTGGATATTACGGGCCAGTTTGGGAAGTTTTCGAAAAACTGGTAATTCGCCAAATAGGTTATAATTGTGCATTTTAGAAAATCGCTAACTCATTAAATTGCCACATTAGATGGTTGAGGTTTTGAACGAATCCTGTAAACATGCAAAGGATTCATATCAAAAACAGAAGTTCGAGAAAAACAACGAAAAAGAATTTGAAAGTTAATAACTATGTATTTTATGGGATCAAGAATATTAAGATTTTCCATAATATCATATACCATTTTTGAGACGGTAGCAAAAGGGTGTAAAACACTTTATCACAAAATTTAAGAAATTGTAACAAGCAGTAAAAGAGCAATAAATAATAGGAAAATATTGATTCATATATAAACTGAAACTTTTGAAACATGAGCCATAGTATAGTAAAAAAAAAAAAAATTGGCTTAACAGTTTTTAACTACATAATCTATATTTTTACAATACATTTTAATTTATAATAAACAGTAGAAAAACACATTTGTTTATATCTATACTAAAATTTAACAATACAATGCAGATAAAATTCAAAATGGTGCGCTCATTTCAACAATGTGCTTAATCGCATATAATGTACTTACATCTAATGAGGATTACTTTTATTATAGTTTTCAACTGCATTAATCAATCATTCACAATAAACTGATTCGTGCATTTCTGAGCCCACAAGTATGTTAGTTGAAGGATGAGACTCACAGATATTCATCCCTCAGAAAATCAAGCGCCCTTTTACAAATTCCTTTTGACCTCGTGCTTGGAAGGACCGGACAAACAACACCTCTAATCACAAAAATCTGTCGCATCTTTCAACTAATTTCATACTATTTTTACATGCACATTCGTAAACTTTTGAAATTAATAAAATAATCCATTTGGTTCATGTCCGTGGTCAGAAGCCATCATAGCGGTGCACTCACCGACTCATCCACTATTCTATCGCACACCTTTCGCCCTTATCTTCTAACCAAATCAAATAAGCAAAATCAGTTAGAGTTGACTTTAGGGTGGTATTATCGCGAAATTGTTGTTTCATTTATCGTCAAGTTGTCTCATTTATGAAAACCTGAGTAGTTGAATGCTATGGAAATGCTATTATGACATAACTGGTTGCGGTGCATTGAATCATGGGAAAAAATTTGGAAAGTGTGTGTCGGATTTTGGGTAAGAGCTTGTGTATGATGGATTAGTATGTTTTTATTTTGTGGTTTACATGGTAAATTGGCTGAATGTGGTAAGATTAATTTGAAGTTTCTGTAGGATTTGAAACGAAAGGAAAAAAAACATTAATTGACTGATGTGTAAATGAAGGTTTACTTAGTAGCCATTATTAAGTGTCCTGTTTGGAGGAAAGAAATGCGTATGGTCAAACATCGGATATTTTAGAATGGAGGATATATTTTACTCTTATTTTTTTGAATTTATGTGGCTACACCAGTATACAGATTCTAGTTCAGATAATTTTAGGAATTTGGATGCTGTTAAGAAATTGTGTTTGACTGAAGATGTGTAAATTCGTAAATAAGGTAAGTGAATATTTCCTTCGTGTAGTGCTAAAATGAATTTCATTTTTTATGTTATTTTATTGTTTGATTTAAAATGTAGTTTATTAAGATTATATATTTTTTTCTTGGCTGCTCCTTTGACTTTTTAAGTAAATATGGACAATATACGATGTGTACATGGACAAAGGGAGTGCGCAAAGCCTAGTTTGTGAAATTCTCTGATTTTGTTAAGTGAAAATAGGTCGATATGTACATGAATAAAGTTAAGAGAGTGCGCAATGCCATTTTTGTCCAATTCTGGGATTTTTTTTTAAGTGAAAATAGGTCGATGTGTACATGGATACCGAGTTTGTGCAATTCTTTCTCTTGTAATTTTGGCTTTGTGCAGTGGCGATTTTTGACCAAAAAATCTCTACTATGTTAGCCAAAATAACAAGTCAAAGAATTGCACAAACTCGGTATCCATGTACCACCAAAAACTGCCAAGTTTCGCCCAGGGGTACCCTAAAATATACTTTTACTGCAAAATCCACGCACTCAACGCTTTTGACACCAGACATTTTGCATACACTATCAAAATAAAGAATACGAATATTCAAAAAGTGCAGTTGAATAATATAAACTGTAACCCTAAAGATTTTGGGCACTTCTCCATTTTGCCGGTGCAAACGATAAAAGTCGCCAATAATGGTACAACTGATGCCAAACGGAATATCTTCGCTGGTAACCTTTTACACTTCATTTCAAAACAAGTTGCAGCCATTTCTTATCAGATTAATTGTTTCTTTCAATACTGGCATACAATTACATAGAATTTTTACCAGATAGTTCAATTTTATGCCCCAAGGCCATTTGCGGTAATTAAGTCAATTAGGATGCAATTAGGAAGGTGAAAATATAGAAAAGGAAAAGTCAAGGGTTAAATTCATCAATTCTAATGAGAATGCACTAGCAAAGTAAAGTACCGCGGTTTTACATCATTTCTGAGTAAGCTATTCGTAAGAATTGAAATAATTCTTGCATTTAAACTTGTATTCCAAATTAAGATTTAACTTGAAATTAATGTAGACAATTACCAAGGGAATTTGATTTTTATAGCGTAGTTTACGTGAGATGAGTTCACTTGGGATCATGCGATATGAAACTGGAAATCAGGATGTTGTACCATGAAAGCATAGTAAATTCTTAAATTAATGTCTTTTTTACAAAATTTTAAATATTAAAATGTTTATGGCTTCAAAATAAAAATTTCTTAAAACTAACATTTGTTAACATCTTTTATGTGTATACTGTGGGTTGTAGCTAATAAAGGCTGCTTGGCGAGATTTGCGCCTGCGAAACGGAAAAGTACCCGATTTTCATTACGAAAAAAAAAAAAAAAAAACTGGGGGTTGCCAGATTTGGCACAATTTCGCTCAACTTGGAGACAGGCCCATAATCTCCAGTCTGGCCCTTTACTCTAAAGGAATCATACAAAATTCCTAAATCAGGAAGATTGTTCATTTGATTTTAGTAAAAAATTCGTGGGATAAACTAATTAGCTATCAACATGAAAGATACCGTTTAATTCCAAATTTTGTGGTAATTATTCTGTGTTGGAGGATTGACTTATACACGGCAGGCAGCCACAGAATTATAATAATAAAGATCCATTACACTTTGAAGTTGGAATTCAAAATGATTTCTTTAACGTTGGCCATTACTTCATTTGAATCCTTCCGAAAATTAGTTTCTTAGGTGACTGCCTATGTTCACACCACATATATTCTAATCTTGCATAACGCAATTTTATTATATAACTGAGATATTTATCACAGATTTATAAGCTCTGGAAAAGCGTTATTTTACATTTTGAATTAAGTACGTACATTGTTGGGAATCCTGGTGTTCCAAAATACCTTTGATAAAACCACTTGAAATCCATGAATAACAGACTTCTAACCAAAAAATTTGTAGAATATCAAAAAACTTCTAAATAGATAGACAGACAAGTATACAGATGTCTCGTTTTGCACCCGCTAAGTCTTTAAGCCCATAGGGCGAAAAATCAAGCTTAGTTGCGAAGGGAAGGTACCACACAGGAGCGCAGTGGCTGTTTTTTTTTTTTTTTTTTTTTTTTTTTTTTTGTTTTTTTTTTTTTTTTTTTTTTTTTTTTTTTTTTTTTTTGTTGCACCGACGGATGCGAATAGAAAAGGCCCGTCCACACGAGTATGCTCGCAACGTAGTTAACGCAACATTTTTTTCGCCGGCGTAAATTTGTGTTACGCATAAGACGAAAAACTGAGTTCGCTCCTGTTCAGTTTTTACGTCCGTAACGTAAATGAACAGCCAATAGCCGAATGAGTTCTTATCACGTGTCATAATCGGTAAATCTTCTTGCTTACCCGTTTCAATATGGCGTCAGAACCACACAGAGATGAGTTTTTGCTTAGAAATATCATAACTGTATACAGCAAAAAAATAATCAGCATTGTTCACGCCATCCTCAGATTTCTCAAACCATACATATTGGTATAAATTTCAAATTCTCATTAAAGGGGAAAATGTGTATTTATAAAGCAATGATCCGACCAGTATATCGATATGCTTCACCGTAAGTAGAAGGAACCTAAATAAATTACAGTTTCTACGAAATCAAAGTTTCTGCCTTACAAAATTCTCCATAATTATTATAAATATTCGCTATATCATGTGTAATAAGGAGCTCTTTAAATATCTCAATATTAAATACACAGAAAACTAACTTCAGCAATATAACAACTTCTAAAATAAAGCAGTTGACTGTGAAAGAGTATTCAATAAAATACAATTATGAAATTTTGGAGGAAAGTTACAACTTGGGTCATACGACAATCATTTCCTGAATATTAATTAAATTACCTTTGTGACGACTTCTACTTGTTACATTAATTTTCGCAAACACTGCTGTTACAGATAGCTGAGTGGTCAGCGCGCTGCATTGCAAATGGAAAGGTGGCGAGTTCGAATCTCACCCGTACACAGTGTATAATTCAGTTTAGCATTTCTCATTTTGAAACGTTATATATAATCATGAATCATTATATTCTTATTTTACCTATTATTATTAATGTTTTCATTTATTCATTTTTTATTCATTATTATTATTGTTTTAAATTTATTTTAAAAATGTGCATTGCAAACGAAACCCTTATGTAATGATTAGCTGCATCTCTTAATCATATACATCTAAAATTATCTATTTATTTTACTTTATGCATATTTTATAATACACATAATTCTCATAAGCGCCCAAACCTCATTTTAAATTCAAAATAAATAAAAAGAAAAACAAAAGACCAAGGGAGAGGGAGTTTAAAAAATATGAAGTTGATTCTATTATATGGTGGATGGTGTAAGAAAAAAATTAAAAATACAAACAGAATTTTTGTTAAATAAAAATTTAAAAAAATTAATACGTAAAAGAGCTGTATTAACATCAAGTGTCATCCACTAAAATTTTCAAAAATTGTATTGATATATGAATAAAAAGTATTTTATTAACGATTGAAAATTTGAACAAGATAAACGGAGAGTGTGAGCTAATAGATGGAATTTAAAAATTCCGGATATTCATTTCGCAAACGAGGCAGTAAAGAAAAAAAATCTCTTTGAACAGAGAACAGAAATCTTTAGGATCCATTCTCGCCATATTTTTTTTTTTCCGTTTTACCTCTGCTTAATGAAGTAAAGTTTCAGCTATCAAAAAATCATCTGATTCGGTCAACTTGCCGCAAACATATAGAAGCACAGCTAAGTAACAAGATACAGCACCGTTTGACGCTATATTACAGCGCCACTTGATCTTTGCGCAAAATAATTCTATTGGTTAAACGCACTCTTCGCAAGCGTACTCGTTTGGACGCCGTTTCGCTGGTAACGTAAAAGCGCGTTCGTCAGCTACGTCGCGAGCGTACTCGTGTGGACGGGCCTTCTGAGAGGCTATTTACATTACCTACGTTCGCTCATGCGCACAGTCAGCCCTAATACCCGCATTTTACGCCGATTTCCGTAAGGCAGGCGATAGCGAGAGCGAAGATTGTTAACCCTAACTCAGCAATAGAAATGGTTGTTAATAGTTCACCAGTAAGAGAATAATTTGCAAGTAATAATTATCAGTTACAAAGACGAGCTCAATGTATCAGCATGTAACGTTCAGGAAATGATTAGATAAAATATGGATTAAGTTATGTAGATGGTTCTAACTGCAAGCGAGGCTTATAATAGTTAAAAAGTCTTAATGTATTGACAAAAAGGCTATAATATTACTTAAATCGTTTTTAACTGAGAAATTTTGGAAACTTAGAACCCTAATTATAGCATAGGACTGTTTAATATTCATAAGAAAACTTTCTGAACATTCTAATATATACACCATGTTTTCTTCATTGGCCATATTCAATCAAAGTTATTTATGAAATAAAACCTTATAAAATCTGATAAATCACTTGTGCGCAATTTTCAATCTAAATTCTTAGATCTCTTTGTCTTTTAAATTACATCCCATTATTTATTTATGTAATTTATTTTTGTTCTAATTTTTCCAAGTTCTTGAAATACTTTTTGTGTCCCTGAAAATGCAAAGTATTTCCATAAAAAATAAACAGGCACACAAATTGTTTAATAACCAGTATTATTTGATTAATTTCATTTAATAGTTGAGATAATAGCTTTTAACTTATTTCATGTCTAAATTTTCTACACAGAAATCTTCTGTCTAATTTTTATTATCTTTTTTCAGACAATTTTCAAAGAGGAAGGAATTAAAGTCTTGATTGTGCAAAACACATCTTTGAAGCTAAATCTATTCTAAGAAGTACAAAAAATTTAAACAAGATTTTGTCCACCTTCCGAAATCAATCCTTTAAACTATTCCAACCGTTCAGGAAAACGATAAACATTGTGAAGATAAAAATATTCCTTTTATATATAGTTTAATAAAAGGAATTGTGTTCCTTTTATTAAACTACGGAGTATATTGTAATATTTATACTCCGTGATCCGTTCTTTTCGATTGGGTTAAAATGACGGATCCGACAATTCAATGCGCATGCGTGGTTAATGTTGGTGCGAATAGCTCAAGCGCCTTATCGCACTAATGGTGCGAATAGCATCGGCCAGTGCTTTCGCCTAGCTACCCCGCGTTGGTGCCAGTTCACTGAACTTGCATTAGATCTTTTTATCTGGACTGCTTGTTCTTAGGATTTTTATTTTATTGTTGATATCAAGAATCAAGGAAATATTTTTCACAAATTAATTCTATTCCAAATTTTATGAATGATGATGCCCTAAATTTGAATCTGGCCCTTTTTTAGACAAGAAATTAAATAAAAAGACCTCCTTGAGTTTTTACCTTTTTTCTCATGGGGGGAAGGCATATATCTGAAAAGCTTTTTTTTATAAATATTAGTCTTCTATATTTTTCGTATTAGATGAACCCCTCTTGATGCAATTATTTTATCCCTGATGGGGGCTTTTAAGCCTAGCCGGCACTCCGTAAATAACTTCCTTGATCCTTGACCTTGATCTCTCACACACACACACCGATCGTATTTTATTCTGAGTCAAGATTAGAAAAACATATTTTACTCGACTTTGATAAGACGGGGGGGGAGAAAGAGAAGGGTGAAAGGAGTGTGAGAGGCGGATGAAAGAGAGTGAGGTCCACGCTAGCGGCGGCGAAAAATGGGCGTGTCAAGTTCAGTGTCGTTATAAGATGAAGCCGCGGGTTTGATCCTTGATCAAATTCACTATTATTATTAACTAATGTCATTATACTCCGTGGCTCTTAGTAACAATTGCATTAAATTTTGTCTTTAACTGATGGCAACACTTAAATTCTGAGAAGCCGTGTAAATTCAAACTTCCGGTTAAACTGCTAATTTTACTCCTTTTTTTTTTTTCATTTGTCTGGAAATACGTGTATTTTTACTTTTTAATGTTGCGGCACATCCGGTAATGGTAATGACCCTTTCGTTTTGAGCAAACGGTAAGAAAGAAGTACGTGGCGTGGTGGAAAACTGGTTTCTTGGCGTCGATTTGATTGTAATGTAAATCTGTCGTTATCAACACTTTAACAATCAAAACAGCATAGCTCTGAGGAGTGTGATTATTATGCATAAAGAAGAGTATGTTATCATCTTTTTATTTTTATAAGCATTTAATGGTTAATATAATTGTCCATACGAAGCAAGCTGTATCTTTAAGTTATATTTTTGCAACTGCAATTATTTTTGTATCCAGGCAAATTTGTATGATATTCAGTATATAAGACAAAATTGACTTTTACCGTTCTAAAACTTTTAACTGGATCTAATTGATTTCCCCAATACTGCTGAATATCTGATACTGCTTTCTCTAAATTTGTCATGCGTGCTTTCTGTCCAATTTGTGCGGACCTTTTTGATGAGGACAGTTTAATGGTAGCTCCACCATGTGGACATGTTTTCCATGAGAATTGTTTATTGAAGTGGTTAATTGAATCGAGAACATGTCCAGATTGCCGCATCCGTGTAACTCAAGAAAAGATTATCAAGCTTTATTTTAGCAGTGTACAGAAGTGTGGTTCATTTAATGTAGAAAGTGCTACTGTCGAAAACGAAATTAACTGTTTAAAAGTTAAATTGAAAGAAAAAGACATGGAATTGAAAAAATGCCAAAATGAAAAAAATCAGCTTGTGTTGTATTGTGAAAAGGCAGAAAATCAAGTCTCAAAATTGGAACAAGAAAAGTATGAAAATGAATCTGAAATAAAACATCTGAAGTTAAAAGTAAAATCATTGAGTAAACTTGAAGTAAAAGTTCAGAAATTAGCGCAAAGAAATGCTGCTCTAAGTAATGATTTAGAACATCTGGACCATGTGCGAACAATAGTGTCTGCGTCTCAGCAAGATGTTGAAAATCTTATGAATAGCTATGGAGATGGACCTGGAGCTGTTCAACAAATTTCAATTTTTTGTTCCGTTTTAAAACGGGAACTACGTCAAGTTTCAGAGGCAAAGGCTCAACTCCAAAATGAAATCGCCAGTCTTAAAAAAGATTATGGCTTAGTTAATCAGCAATTAAAGAATGTATTGCGGCATAAAAAAACTCGTGATTCTTCACTTGCCAAGGAAATAAAAAAAGTTTTGTCACCTAAACGATCTATAACTATGCCTAGTACACCACGTGTTGGAGATCGTGGATCTAAGCAAGCAAGTTACAGAAGATCTTCATCTTCATTGACACCTATTTCAGTTCCTGTTGGTGATAAGAAAAGAAAAATGGACGTTGTCGTCCTTAATAAGGAAGTGGCCACAAGTTCCAGACCTGTGAAACATGCTACTTCATTAGTAGCAGCAAATTGCGTGAAATGTTCAAAACCAAAAGATGAGGACAGTGTTATTCAAACTGGATATAATGGTTTGGGGGGTCATGGTAGAATTTTAATTAGAGCTAGTTACCTGAAACTAAAAAAGCGGAGGCAATAAATTGCATGAAGATGTGATCTGCAATTTGGTACATACATTTATTATCTTTTTCTTCTAATAATATTACTAAGCTGTACTTGAAACTTCTCTTTATCGTATCTATGTGTCAAGTAGTAAAATGTAGTGCATTTGATTTTAACTTTTTTTTTAATGTTATACTAACCTGTAATAAAAAGTGTTTTTTAATTTTTTTAAAGATGCTATTGTCTTGTCTACGTATGCAACAGAATATAGTATTGATCTTAATTAATTAAAATATGCCATTTTACTGATTTGCCTAAAGAGCATTCAGTAGTTTTATTGAATTTTGCAGTTCTATTTCTTAAAAAAAAAAAAAAAAAAAAAAAAAAAAAAAAAAAAACTAATTTATTTAAGTTAGTTAAGTAATTTTATTTGTACTTGCGTAAAATACTTTAGCTTTTGAATTTTACTTGAATGTATCTGTGTACTCATAAAAACTGTTACCACTATTATTTAATTATAGTTATGTTAGTATAGCAGTGTGGGTAAAAGTTACTTATGTTTGGTATTTTAGCTTTTGTATTTTATTTGAATATATAAATAATTTCATAAAAACTATGGCTGCTCTTATTACTTTCAAAGGATCATGGCATTCATATGCCAGTATAGCTGTGTTGATAAAAGTTAATTCTTAGGTGCAAGTTATTTTAAAAAGATCACCATGCTGTTTATAATTGGTGTGAGTCAGCAAATGTTATCAGTGTTTAAAAAAAAAAAAAAAAAAAAAAAAAAAAAAAAAAAAAAAAAAAAAACAAAAAAAAAAAAAAAAAAAAAAAAAAAGCAATTTAAAATATAAATTTAATTATTAAATGAGTTATATGATATGTGTAAAAAAAATATGCTTACTTTTTTTCGAAAAATCCTTCTGTGATTAATTTTCGTCCCCTCCCCCAAAAAAGACAGAGAAATGCACAAACTTGGCATTCTGCACTGGCCATGAAACTTATGTGTATTCTCCAACATAATGAAAACAAAAGAGGGCCTATGTGTTTACTATTTAAAAATAATAAATAGCAATAAAAATAGAGAATATATGACTGAGAAAGAAATATCCCGCAATTAAATTGATTTGATCTAATCTTTACTGTACGGTACCCCTTGGTTTTTTTCTGAAAAAATCGCCAAGTGATATTAATTGTTCGTGAAATCTGGAAGCCCGCTGCACTTTTTTTAATAGTAACCCTTGGTAAAAGTATAGTTTAGGGTACCCCTTGACGAAACTTGCCGATTTTTGGCGGCACAGGGATACTGATTTTGTGCAGTTCTTTGACTCGTTATTTTGGCTTGCGAAGCGACGATTTTTGCGCAAAAATCGCCGCTACACAAAGCCAAAATAAGAAGACAATCGCACAAAATCGGTATCCATGTACACATCGACTTATTTTCACTTAAAAAAAAATATCCCCGAATTGCACAAAAATGGCATTGCGCACTCATTTGACTTTATC